GAGAGAGAGAGAGAGAGAGAGAGAGAGAGAGACGCCTGAGGGTAAATAGTGTGTGTGTGTGTGTGTGTGTGTGTGTGTGTGTGTGTGTGAGAGAGAGAGAGAGAGAGAGAGAGAGAGAGAGTAACCTTCGAGTTGTGAGAGGCGGCCATACATGCAGGAGACTTCGATGTATAAGACTTTGACTATTCAAGCAATTTCTGCTGTCTTCTCATATTGTGTGGATTTGTATCTCGTGTGCGAAGATTTGGGTGTTGAAGTATGATTGCGGGATGTTGTGGAAAGCAGAGTGAAATCGATCATAGTAATACTTCTCTTCCTTGGGGGGAAAAAAACAGATTATACAATTGCCTGTCATGTGTCGTCTGTAGTTGTTTGGTGTAGATTTTGGCCGCCTGGGCCTCTGGTTGATTTGAGCTGGCAAACGTTTGTCTAAATAAGTATGCGCTTTTTTAAAGTTTTTTGTGAGTTTTTTAACAGGCGGATTACCAAAAAAAATTACAAAATACTAAAATAGATAACTTCTTATTAGTTCTTAAACCACCACACCCCCGGGGCTCCACCTGAGGAAGCGGGATTGGAGACCTTGCGACCCCTGAATTTGCAGCTTGTTGATATTGTGTTTCAGCCTTGGGCACTGGGCCCTAATAAAACAGCTGTTTTCTTTCAAAAAAAAAAAAAAAAAAACCCACTCCCCCTGCCGGCTTAAATWCGGCTTTCCTGGCCCCACGGATCAGGTTTGTATGGGGGGCGGCGACTGGTGGGGACAGGCGGGTCCAGTCTCGCAGTTTTCAAGCGCCAACTTTGGCGAATTTTCACGTTCAGAAGAATTAACAGAAAAATCTGAAAATTGGGGATCCTATAGATTAGGTTGTGATCTATCCAGTGTGAGGATTGAGCCCTCAGGAAGGGGCCTTGCAATGATGTACATGTTCTGGGCTAAGGCCCCAGCAAGCCTCGTGCCCGCCCTAAGTGAAGGCGGGCCAGCAAATCAACAAGAGCCCTCTGTACAAACATTTCACGAAGTGGGGTCCATACAGTTGCAGCACGCCAGTTGGTTGGAGTGCACCGAGTCTCGAATCTCTGCAAATGTGGAAATCCCAGGGCCTCTGAGTTAGTTAGGCCCTGGGCACTTGAACGTGAGGCCGACAATGCATGCTGGGTATAGAGGCCGAAAATGCCAAAGGG